AATAGTTTACTTTGTCTTTGCCTTATTATGGATGAATTTGAACACCTTTTCATATATGTAAAAGCCATTTGATTATCCTTTGATTTAATTCTTTATATTCTTTGCCTACTTGAAGATTATAAGAAAATCTTTTCTCCCATGATTTCTTTTAGTATTTTTTGTGTTTTGATTTCTTACGTGGAATGAATTTGAAGCAAGATGTGAGGTATAGATCCACGTGAACCAATACCATCAGCCATCTTAGGCATATATTCAATTTCCATCTGTATTTGACTCAAGTGTATTTAAATACATTAGAGGAGGTCACTTCTTGAAGAAATGTTCTCATAACCCCCTTTTATTAAAAATAAAAGACTCTTTGAGAAGTGAGTGGTCACAATTGATCATTCTTCATAAATCTTTTTTTTTTAAATTACTGTTTCTCCAAAATGGCATATTCTGGAGCATCAATCAAACTTTAGTCCACCCCATCAGCTTTCTCTTTCACCATCTTGGTTTCCTTTTTTTTCCCCTCCTCAAACAGTGAAGAGGCAACAGAAGAGAGGAGGAGAATAAACTAGAAGCCTGTAAACCACACTGCAAGTTACCATGCCTCTGAGCAAAAACTTGAAATAGTTCTAAATCATCTTGACACTCTTTTTAAATTTTTTTTTCTCTTGGCTTTGGACAGATACAAAGTAAAACAAGATTTCCATTTTGTTTTCTGATTGGTTAGCTCAGATATGAACCATAATAAACAAGAGAAGTGGACACTTGTACTCGACCAAGGAATATGAGGCAGACTAATAATTTAGCCCATCCAAACATATTCATTTAAATAAAATTTCAAGATTAATTTAGTGTGGATGGAGCTGATGCTGGTGAGGACTATTTTCCCCACACTTTCTGTGGACGTGGGACCAATTCACATCTACTGGTTATGTGAGGAATTGCTTGTGGCACCTGAGTTAATAGAAACGCATTTCTGAGTTATTCTAGTGATGTCCTGTATGCACTGATGCCCCGCACAGCTGCTCAGCTCGCCTTGTAAACTTGCTGTGGGGAGCTAGTTCTTATTCTCTCTGACTTTTTTCATGTCTGTGCCTGTAAGTGAGAGTGAGAGAGGATGGATGAGCAATAGAGGAATTTATGCTGTGTTGCCTGAACATCAGAGGGAAAATTAAGCCACTGTGTGCCTTGGAGTATGGGCTCTGACGGACCAATCCAGCTAGGTCCTGGTGAAAAACTGGAGGTCAGAGATACCTATTTTGCTCCCACCAGAAAAGATTTAATATTGCAACTAATCCGCCCCCCCCCAGTCAGCTGCACTGGTCCAGGTTCATAGAATGTTCCTAGAAAATGCATCGAGCAGGATGGAGAAACAGGAGGGAAAAGGAAGTTGGGGCAGGCGTGGCTCTGAGGGATGGCTGCTCTGCTGAAAGGCCACTCTCCTGTCTTATCCACAGAGCAGTCCATAGGCCACTGGGAGGTCTGAGCTTGGTTCTGCAGTTGCCCAGAGCTCCTAGATGTGGAGAACTTATTATCTGGGGCAAAGGGCATCTCTCATCCGTGGTAAATTTTCTCCCACTATTAAAGAAAAAAAAAATCACTTGGCTCTTCCTTCATCTTTTTCCCTCTTTGTTCAAGGGGGAAAGGGGAAGGGTCCTTTTTGCGCTGTGTGTGTGTGTGTGTCTTGAGTTTTAAATTTCTTAATCTTGATGCAGACTCCCTAGATGGGAATTTTTTTCAATGACCTTTCTGGGATGTAACTGCTTAGATATTTAGCAGTGATTTAAATCACTATTGAGGTTGACATGACACTTTCTGTTTGGAGTTTTATCTCTCCTGAACCAAGGGAACCACACTAGGGAGTAGAGAAGGCAAATTAAATGCTAAGTGTGACCCTAGCCTGGGGCAGGCCTTTTCATTCTTCCTGGGTGAACATCAGCGATTTCTTCTGCTACTGTAGTCATTACTTCATGCACATTAGTGAGCACATTGATGGTTCCAACTACTCATTGTCTACACCTGGAATGAGTTGTGCAATGGGTTTTGTTTAAAAAAAAAAAAATCGTCAGCAGTCATTCAGCAAACTAGCTGCCCTGTGAGGGTGGGAAAGCAAAGATGTCTATGATGCCAGGGTCCAGTAGAAAGAGACCTGTAAACAAATAAGCAAAATAAAGCATCACTGGATCCATGATAGAGGTAAATACATAGAAGGTATAGTAGGGATCCAAAGAACAGTGTTAAACTATATTGTAAGAAGACACTAGAAAAGAATTTCTTAGAGGAAATAATGCTTAAATGGAACCTTTAAAGTAAACTAGGTATTCATCATGGGGATGAGGGTTTGAAGAGGTGTTTGTGGCGGATGGAACCGTGAGACTATAGCATATATCTACCACCTGCTGTCTTATGAACCAGCATCTCTCTCATTTCCCGAAATTATTTGAGCTGGAGCTGGGGAAACAGACACATAGATGGCAAGAGATGTGAGTCTCAAGAACCACTGGTGGCCATGTTTTCAGCCACATGGAAATCTGAAAATGAAATTCCTATTTAGAAGTAGAAATAAAGGAAAGAGAGTGGAAGAGAAAGTCCTAAAAACATCTAATTCATGCTTCCATTGTACCTGATTTCCACTGACACCCCTTGTCCTGCCAGCAGTTGGGTTTTATGGACCTTCCAGGAAGTTCCTCCCTTTCGCTTAAGCAAGTTTGATTTGAATTTCTGTCGCTCATAACCAGAGCAGTCTGGTCAGTTGAGGGGCTGAGAGCTTGAAGAAATGAAATGTATGTGCATATATCCTTTGCTGAATAACAGGTTCAAATTTCATCTTGCTGCTGTGTGACAATAGTGATCAAATGTGTGCTTATGAGTTTATGTTTGTGTGCCCAGAGAAGGTAAGTGACAAACTTTCATCAGAGCCACTGTACACGTGCCTTAATGTAGGAAACTGCCTATAGAAGTGGAATGTAAACAGTACTATTCAGTTAGGAGAGAGAATTTGGTCTAAAATTGGGGAGCTTCCAATAAAACAATATTTTGGCCAAGCTTTTGCGAAAACATCTGGGAATAGGAAAGTATCTTCTCTGTAAATCCTGATTTTCATAACTTTTGTTTATTTAAATTGTGTGCCTCCCTTGCCTTAATTTGCTGTGCCCCCTCTGGGCAAGAAAGAAAGAAGTTATCGGTGATGGCAGATGCAGTCAACATCATTCCCAATGAACGTGAAATAAATTTCATTTGAAATCTTTGCTTTTGATAAAATAACTCCAAAAAACCCCAGTATTTATATCTAGATATTTAAAGTATCAATAGATCTGATTAGTGGATTTTTTTAAATGTGAAATTTGGATATAATCCTATCTTTGCATATGTTCTATGAGCACTTGAAAAGAATATGTATTCTGCTCTTGTTGGGTGAAGTGTTTTATAAATGTCAGTTAAATTCTGTTGCTTGATGATCTATATTCTTGCTGACTCTATGTCTAGTTCTATCAATAGTCGAGAGAGGGATGTTGAATTCTCCAACTATAATTGTGTATTTGTCTATTTCTTCTTTTAATTCTATCTTTTGCTTCATGTAGTTTGTAGCTCTTATCGTTTGGTGCTTCCATCATATTTAATATTGATATGTCTCCTTGGTGGATTAATCCTTCTGTCATTATGTCATGTCCCTCTGAATCTCTGGTAAATTTCTTTGCTCTAAAGTGTTCTTTATTGATATTATTATAGCCACTCTGGCTTTCTTTTGATTAATATTTGGATGATATGTCTTTTTCTATCCTTTTACTTTCAACCTACATATATAGTCATATTTAAGTGAGTTTCTTGTAGACAACATTCGATTGGGTCATATTTTCTAATCCATTTTGCCAATTTCTGTCTTTTAGTTGGTATATTTATTTTTTAATTTATTTTTTTAAATGTTTATTTATTTGGTTGTGCTGGGTCTTAGTTGTGGCAGGAGGGCTCCTTAGTTGTGGCTTGAGGGCTCCTTAGTTGTGGCTCAATGGCTCCTTAGTTGTGGCATGCAAACTCTTAGTTGTGGCATGCATGTGGGATCTAGTTCCCTGACCAGAGATTGAACCCAGGCCCCCTGCATTGGGAGCATGGAGTCATAATCACTGTGCCACCAGGGAAGTCCCTCAGTTGGTATATTTGGATCATTTATGTTTAATGTAATTATTGATGTTAGAATTTAAATCTGCCATTTTATTTCCTGTTTGTTCTATTTCTTATTTTTCTGTTTTATTTTCTTTGCTTTTTTATGGATTACTTGAACTTTTTCTTGAATTATGTTTTATTTATCTATACTGTTTTAATTTTAATTTCATAATTACGTTAATCTGTACATTTTCCTATGGCTATAGTGTTTTTGAGTGTATCTCTTTGTAGCTTTTTTAGTAGTTGCTCCAGGTATTACTTTACATATGCATAATTTATTACAACCTAATGGTGTCAATATGTTATCAGTTCAAGTCAAGTGTAGAAACCTTATCTCCCTTTACATTTCTTTGCCTTCCCCTGCTCCTAATTGTCTTAAATATTTCCTCTACACAGAAGAACATCATACAGTGTTATAATTTTTGTTTCAATGTTCAAAAGTAATTCAGAAAACCTAGGAGGAGGAGGAAATGTATTTACTCATATTTTTTACTCTTTTTGTGCTATCTTCCTTTTTTATATTCCAAGATTTCTTCCTTTTCCATTTCCTTTCTGTTTAGAGAACTTCCTTTAGCCATTTTCTTAAGATAAGTCTGCTGCTGATGAACTTTCTTAGTTTTTCTTCAGCTGAGGTCTTGATTTCCCCTTCATTCTTGAAGGATAGTTTCACTAGATATAGAATTCTGGGTTGACAGTTCTTTTATTTCAGCACTTCAAAAATGTTATGCCGGGCTTCCCTGGTGGCGCAGTGGTTGAGAGTCCGCCTGCCGACGCAGGGGACATGAAAGATCCCACATGCCGCGGAGCGGCTGGGCCCGTGAGCCATGGCCGCTGGGCCTGCGCGTCCGGAGCCTGTGCTCTGCAACGGGAGAGGCCACAACAGTGAGAGGCCCGCGTACTGGAAAAAAAAAAAAAAATGTTATGCCATTTCCTTCTGGCTTCCATGGTTTCAGATGAGAAATCTACTATTATTCAAGTTGTTTTTCTTCTTTAAGTAAGGTATTGTTTCTCTTAGCTTTCAAGATTTTTTGTCTTTAGGGGTTTTTGTTGTTGTTGTTGAAATTTTATTATTATATTCAATGGCATAAAATTACATTGAAATAAATATAAGAAGAAATACTGTGTTTAGTTTTGAGAAGTTTAGCTTGGTATGGGGTTTCTTTGGGTTTATCCTGTTCGTGATTTACTTACATCTTGAAACTGTAGGTTTATGAATTTTGCCACATTTGGAAAGTTTTCAGCCATTATTTCTTCAAGTGATTTTTCAGCCTTGCTCTCTTTCTTCTCTCCTATTGGGATTTGGACAACATCACTGTTAGAGTTTTGTTATGGGCCCATAGGTCCCTGAGCCTCTGTTCTTTTTTTTTTTTCCCAATCTATTTTCTCTGTATTGTTCAAACTGGGCAGTTACTATTGCTCTATATTCCAGTTCACAGATTTTTTCCCCCTCTGACCCCTCCATTCTGTTGTTGAGCCCATTCACTGACTTTTTAACTTTAGCTGTATTTTTCAGTTCTTAAATTTCCACTTTGTTCTTCTTTACATTTTCTATTTCTGTGCTGAGACGTTACATTTCTTTGCTCAGACTTTCTATTTTTTCATGTTTTAAGCATGTTCATAATTGCTTGTTAAAGCATTGTTGAGATGGCTGCTCTAGAATCTTTGTCAGATAATTGTAATATCTCTGTCATTTTAGTGTTGACACCTATTGATGATCTTTTCTCTTTCAAGATTAAATTTTCATGATTCTTGGTGTGATGAGTAATTTTCAGTTGAAAACTGGACATTTTGGATATTATGTTATGAGACTCTGGATCTTACTTAAACTTTCTGTTTTAACTGGCTCTTCTGGATTCCTGGCAGAGGAAGGGAGGGGCACTGCCTTGTTGCTTCCAGGTTGGGGTAGAAGTCCAGATTCACAACTTGATCTCTGTTGACACTGGAGAGGAAAGGGGCTCCTAGTTACTGCTGGGCAGGGGTGGGAGGTTTGGATCCCATGAGGCATCCACCAATATATATTACCCTGGCTGGGAGAGGTAGGACTGCCTTGTTATTGTTCCCCATGTGGCCACTACTGACACCATAGAAAGGTGGCCTCATTATCTCTGGGCAGCAGTGAAAGTCCTGACTCTCCACCCAGCTGCCTTTGACACCACCCCAGCAGGGATGGAGAGGGTTGCCTTGTTACTGCTGCTGTGGGTGGAATTCAGATGCCCCATGTGGTCTCTACTGACATCATAGGGGCACAACCCATTACTGTCAGGTGGGGATGAAAGTCTGGCTCCCTATGGGCTTCTCTTATACCATTTCAATGTGTGTGTGTGGCGGAGAGGTTGCAGTTGGGGTCCTTTGATATACCCTGCTGGGCAGGAAGTCTAGGCTTCCACTCCCCCTTTGCTGGTGTGGGTGGGAGTGGAGCCACCATTTTTTCTGTGGCTTTTGGCTGGGGTAAGTGGTTACAGTTTAAAAGTTTTTACTCTTGTTAAGTTGCCCCTTTCCTGGTCTTTTGACTTTTGTTGGGGACTTTTTGTTTGTTTGCTCCTTTTGGCATTTCTAGGGGATGCCAGCTTCTTCAGCTCCAGATCTGAGAACCACGAGGCTAAAAGAAAACCCAGGGGACTCATCACCAGGTTGTGCCTCAGATCCCAAAGTCCCTAGCCTGTCTGTCTTTTTCTCTCCACCTTTCAGAGTCTTCTCATGTCTTATATACAATGTCCAGGGTTTTAAGTTTTACTTAGCAACAGGGAAAAGTATATCTACTCCATCTTCCCGGAAACAGAAGTCAAGATATAATTTTAAAATATTAGTTAGCTTCATGTCTTTGGAATAGTACCGAGATCTATTTATCGCTGGTGTGTTAACTCCCTCACTAGAATTGTGTCTGGCACATGGTAGGAACTTAATAATATTCAGTGACTGAATCTCTACTTTACCAATGAGAAAACTTAGGGACTTAAGTCATTTCTTCTTCTTCAACTGGTAATAGGAAGAACTAGGATCTGAACCTGGACAGTCTGATTCCAAAGCCTGAGCTCTCAGAAGCATCATTGGGGCACTCGTGAAATTCAAGGCCCCTTTTGTTCTTTTAGGACAAAGGACAAGTGAGAGGGAGCCCCCACTTGAGACAGTGACAAAGTGGCAACATGACACTTTTCTACTGAATTAACAATGTCCTTGCATTCTGCAAGCAAATGCCCAGTGCTGTCAACTCTCTTTCCTTCTATTCACTGCCAAGCTTCCTGCCTAGTGTCCTAATTATTCCTTAATTCCTGTGCAAATGGGGTTCCACTCCAATTTCTCTTCTGCAGCTGCCTTTTTTTCAGCCCCAAAGACCAAATGCAACAGTGTCTTCCCTTTATCACCCTTTAAATTTTTTCTGCAGTGTTTCCTAATGCTATTCACCACTTCCCAAACTTCTCCCTACTCTTGACTTTCATGATCCTTCACTTTCTTGCTTTGCTCTCCATCCCACTGATTACTTTCTGACTCCAGTTTTTACTCCCATCCTCTGAATGGCAGAATTCCTTGAGATTCTTCCTTTCTTTTCATTGTCCACAGACTCACAGAGTTTATCCAAGCTCACAGCCTCAACAAGGCTGGTAAATACACTCATTCATTTATACATTCAATATTCATTTATTGAGCACCTGCTATGTACCAGGCATTGTTCTATAGCAGGGAACAAGGTAAACAAGGTCTTTATTCTCATGGAGTTTATACTCTAGTGGAAGACACAGAAAGCAACAAACAACAACAACAAATCAGTTAGTTATGGAGCCATATGACATTTTTCAACAATGTTAATCAAACTTGTAAACTTTCATGTACATTATCTCAATTATCTATTAATTCTAAAATTACTGAGGGTAAAAACTGTGTTACTTCCATAAAACTAATGCTACCACCTTATTTTGATGTATGAGGTTTACTTTAAAGATGTGCTTTAACATAGTTGGTGATTTAAAAAAATCTGTTGATTTTAAAATATTGCTGATTGTTACATATTAATTTTTTCTAAGGATTTTACAAATATCTAAAAGCAGTTTAATATGTTCTTGATGTTACACAATGACTCTGAAACCTGTGCAGCCACGTACCACCCACACAGGCTGGGGCAAGTTACTCAGCATCTCTGCACCTTCATTATTCTTGCCTCCAGGAGCCCGTCAACTCATAAACCTCATATCCAGACAAGGACTCAGCTCGAGTTCAAGGCAGCTCCCCTGAGGGACCACTGTGTCCTAAGGGAAGCTCTTTTTAGTTTTGCAAGTCATAGCATATGGGACAAGAATGTGGCTCTGACACCAGGCAGCTTGAATTTATGTGCTGGCTCCTCTGCTTCCTAGAGTGTGACCCTTAGCAAGTTATCTAACCTCTCTGTGCCTCAATTTTTTCACCCTTAATATGGAGTAATGATAGTGCCTAGTCTGTAGAACCTTTACGATGATGAAATGAGTCAATACCTATGAAGTGCCTAGAACAGTGCCTAGTACTTAATAAGTGCTACATGAGCGTTTGCTATTTTAATCTATTTATATACAAACTTCTGTCACTTTAAGAGAAAACCAGGTCACTGGACTTCATCTGTTGGGATCTCACTGCCATTAAAGTTTGAATCTTGGACTTTTACGTTTTGGATGCTTTAATAAATTGAGGTTATCAAACAAATAAACTTAAGAGAAGAAACACATTTTTATCTCTTCAACTTTAGAGAATGAGCTTCTAAAAATGAATGCTGGGTTTCTTTCCACTTTGAATTTTGAGAAAAAAAAAAGATTTATATAAACAAAACAAAAGGCACATAAAACTCCATTAATTCAGAGGTATGTTTAAAAGAAATAGGCCAGATGGCAGGTAATTAATATACACTAAAACTCTTCATGTCACACATAAGAATTAAAATGTATCAACACCCAGAAGCTGGGCAGAGAATTTCTGGCATCGTAATTCACTTCTATAGCGCTATGCTGTGCAGTTCAACCGCAATTAAAAACAGAAAAACCCTCTCTCCCTCACTTCCCCTTTTCCTCAGGTTTGTGGTTTTGAAGCATATCTTCCAGGATTCCCCCCCCCCCTTTTTTTCCCCTCCAATCACCTTCCCTATGCTATTTGTCTAAGTCAGAGGGAGAAAATAACTTCAGAAAAGCAACAAGCAGTAAAAAGTAACTTCTATAACAGGGAAACAACATTGATGATAATTCAGATCACTTAGAAGTTAAACATACCCTCCTTGCCCAGTCAAACCAACTAGCTTTGCATCTGTTAGTACCATATGGCTGTTTATCTGAAAGCCTAAGGCTGACGTCATCAGCACAGGGCCCCTAGCCAGCCAGGCTTGCAGGCTAGCATAGCATTCAGGCCTGTCCTGGGGGCTCCTGGGCCTACAGAGGGTTTAAGACATTGGCCATTTACCAGGCCTGACCCAGTGACCTTTGCAGCTTCTTTGTGAGGGCTTCAGGGAACCTGCATCCTGTCCAGTGGGCACGGGGAGAATGGTTCATGTGCTGGAAATACCTAGCTTGGCTCCGTTTGCCGGTAAGTAGTTCCTGCAGAGATGAGTTTGGATGTGAGACACGTCCTTCCTTCTTTAAGAGGTGGGGACTGAGGGGCCTGCGGGAATCTCGAGAGCATGGGGCTGAAGTCATTCCTGAGCCACGGCTCAGCTCCAGCAGCGCCCCAGGACACCTCCGAAGCAGCTGCGTCAACAGTGCCAGCCCTAAGCCCTGTGCCTTGTTTGAGGCTGAGATCCTATTAAGGGGCTTTTGCTGAGGAAATGAGCTGTGTTGGCAGGGGGTTCAGTGCCAGGCAGAGGGGTCTCCTGCTGCTGGCATCCACTTTCTTTCAAGACCTCTTTCACTCTGCACAGATTGGCTTTATTTTATCGGGAGAGGAGTAACAAAAAGTGCCCGTTTCCACCTCCATAGTTTTTAACGCTCTCCTTCCCAGAAGTTAGTCTTTGCATGTATCTCAGCACCAACATAATGCCTGTCTCGATGTTCAGTAAAATGACAGTTTCCTTTCCTTCCACATCTCCTGCCTCCCCCCATCCTGGCCGTTTACGAAGAGCCAGGGCCTTCATGTTAGGGTACCCCCATCTGCAGACACACCCAGATCTGTGCAGGGCTGCTCCCCATGCCAGAACCCTATCTGCCCCCATCCTTTATTCCATTTCCTGAAAGTCTAGATATTCATGGTTAAGGCAATCAAATCTTTATACTAATCTACATTGGGGGTTAACGAGTGCTATCCGGCATCTGTTGGTATCGAGTTAACCTCGTCACAGAGGCCT